TTTTTTTTTTTTTTTTTTTTTTTTTTTTTTTTTTTTTTTTTTTTTTTTTTTTTTTTTTTTTTTTTTCCTTCTTTTTCAAGCTCATGCGTCAAGTGATTTTTGCCTCTTTTCGACAGACTCATGTTAAGAACAGAAGCTTGCGCTGAATCTGGAGGTGGTATACAAAATAAGCTATTTTTGATAAATAATATCACATTTTTAATGACAAAAATCGTGTTAGACAGGCTTTGGTCTCTCATGTATACTGGCATTGCCTGTTAATTACAAAATGCCATCGAAGCCATCAGTTGACCCAGACCAAATGCTGCAAGTTTTATCTCAATTACTAGTTTTTGATTTTAAGAGAAAAGAATTGATTCTCAAATGCAGACATTTATACAGAGAAAATCTGCCTCATGCAAGTTATGCATTATCGTTTTTATAATTCAAGAAAACATTAAGCTAGTCATTATAATTATTTTTATGTTACGTTTTATTTTTGCAGTAAAAGTAATATATTTAGACAATTATAAACACTTATTAAAAAAAAATGGGTTCTGTTAACTTATGTTTTCCTTAGTAATTATTCATAATATTATAATGGAAGCTGTAAATAGTATGTGTAAACTTATGTACATATAAAACAATAAATTCAATTCTTACCAATATTAATATTTATTGCGTATAAATTCATTTGTTGATCCTTATATTGAATCTGGGTAAATAATTCGATTCTGACTTGATTTGCTAACATCAATTATATTTATCATACTCTTTTATCTACATGTTATCGAAATAACAAGTAACAAAGTAGTCGTTATACACAAAACTGAGAATAAAAGATGTGTGTGTGTGTGTGTGTATGTGGGAATGCTTGTACGTATGAATATATAAATTGAAAAACCCGTGGCTTCGCTATGTAATGTTTGATTGGAATTAAAATTTTTCAAGTATTACTGATGTTGCTATCATGTTAAATCTGTTAAAAAATCTACAGTTAATAATTTGGAATGAGGTAGAAGTATAAACATTCGTTTGATTTTCCCGCGCACAAATTGTAGGTGGCGTTTTTTTCGCGGTTAGCAACACAAATTTTCGATTTCTAAAATTTGTTTGCACGCGTCCAAACAAATGCCAGTTGGAGAATGTTTTGTTCAGTTTATCAAAAAATTTGACTCTACTCTATGTAAATCTAGTTTGGCTTAGCTAATGAAGTACAGAAGACACATTTTTTTCTTTTTTCTTTTGATCTTCATATAATTTGAACGTTTTATTTATCAAAAATATATCCCCGTAAAAATACGCACTCAGAGGAAAAAACTATTATCTTACGATACCGTCAGTGAATGATTTACTAAGGTAATTTTCGTTGTTTTTCGGATTATAAATATAAAAAAAATTAATTTTTCTACTTTATTCCTAATATTTTAGTATTAATTACAATTTCACCGCTGGAAGCATTGATAAATATTGTCTTGGTGGAATATCATTTTTCGTACGTGACATCCGATGCAACAACAAAACCATCAGCCCGTGCCATGACTATTTTTCAAGATGTACAATAGTATTTACTTAAATTTTTTGTCGAAGACAAATAATATCTTATTATTACGTTCCTATTACTTTATTAGTACACTATTATGTGGTGAAGATATTAGCTCCATAATTATAAAATATCTTGTGCGTATCTAAAATACTACGGTGCTACTGAAAAACAATTTTAATACAAGACCAGTGTGAGTGAGCATTGTTTTAAAAATTATTCTAAATGTCGAGTGAAAAAAAGTTATATTGTAATGAAGCTTCTAAGAGTCAAGATATTTAGAAATGGAAGAATCCTCATCTGACTATGAGAGTGACAATGACATTTCTTTTGATATTTCTGGCAATTCTCATAATAATGACGCAAATGCACTTGAATTTAACATTCAACTTACTAATGATGAATGGAATACTATTAAGCCTTGCTCGAAAGTGTACAGAGATGACAGAGTATATAATGTTCTTCAGCGAGGATGGACAGACGTAATAAATGAAAAAGTTTGGAAAGCTAAAAAAGTTCAGTGTGCTTATTCATTTAAGAAGCATCAAATTTTTAGAACAAGTGGTTTTCCATTCCTGGAATTTTACGGAAAATGCGTGGAATGTGGAATAAAATTCAGTGGATATTGTCAAAATGAACCCACGGAAAGTGAAACAGAAGTGACTATGCACTTTAAAACCACAGATACATCTAAAATACCACATACAAAAAAAAGATTTTTAGCAAGGGACCGGCGGACGGAAGCAAAGAAGGTCCTGAAATATGTTAAGCCCCGGTTATTTAAAGCAAGAGAGGCTGATAATTTAATGGACACATCAGATGTTATTCCTGCTACTGTCACTAACTCTCCAGTTTATAGAAAAGCTCGTCAAGAAGTTATTGATGCAGATCTTGGCATACAAAATTTTCCTGGGAAACCTCTGGAATCGCTTATGATCATGAGAAATGATACCCCGAATATTGTTTTCTTATCAACCATACCTTTCATATTAATTTTTTCGTCAAAAGAGCAGCAAAAATTTTGGAAAGAGGTGAGTGACCTTGACGATGTTGAATTTTCTATAGACGGGTCAGGTAGTTTTGTAAAAAAAGTTGTTATTTCAGAAAATTTGATCTCACGCGATATATGCTTATACGTGATAGTCGTAAGATTTCACAATAAAATTTTCCCGTTGCTCAAATGTTAACAGATTCCCAAAATGTTAATACATTAACGTTGTTCTTAGAATGTTTAATTAATATTAAAGCGCCAATCCCAAAAAGAATTGTATGCGATTGTTCCCTTGCTTTATTTAACGCGATATATTTAGCGTACAACGACTGCTCATACAACTCGTATCTTGACAACTGTCATATCCTAATAAAAGAGGAAGCTTATGAAAATTTGCCGCGTTGCCAAGTTAGACGTGATCGAAATCATCTGGTGAAAAACGTCACAAGATGGAATTGTTTTGCGAAAAAAGATTGGTACGTCAAAGATTTTTATACGAGAATTATAGCATTTTGCTTAGAGTTAGAAAGTTTTGAAGTATTCGAGTACGTTTTGTCTAGCATTTTTATAATTTGTCAAAGCTATTTATGTGAACTGGGTTCAGAGTGTTATGCGAGAAAAAATTTCTTGATAAGTAAAATTGAATCTTTCAATCACAACGAAATTGAGGAAATAGAAAAAACTAGTGAGACTGAAGAAGGAATTGATGTTTCAGTATTAGATGACTCAAAAGATATGCCAGTAAATATATTAGGCTATTTAGAACAAGTAAATCGATCAAGTGAATTATTGTACTCTATTAATTCACATGACAATTTTTTACAACCGAATATTTTTGAATGTCCAGAGCTTGTTCCATATATCTATACACTGTTCAGTCAATTTCCCGTATGGACTAACTTGATGAATGTTTATGATAAAGAATCAAAAAAAGTGTCGTCATCATCAGCTTCTGAATGCTATTTTCGTCTTTTAAAAAATAAATACAATTTGACCCGTCCCATTTCTGTAAACAGATTCGTTCTAAAATTTATAAAACTTTTAGATGGTGACATGGAAATCGCGAGAGGATTGATAAAAAATATTCAAAAATTAAAAAATTTCGAAAATGTCGACGACGAAATTCAAGAATCTGACCAAAAACGTACGGAAAACTGTAATTTAACTAACAAATTTGTTAATAAGCAAAAATTACGATTAAACGTGTCTGCTGACGTATTACCCGAAACTGATAAGTTACAATATTCGCGCTTATTTGTAAAAAATGGCAATTTGTCACTTCCGGTAGAAGTCGACGGGGTGATATACAAATTACTCAACACGTGTCCGTATGATAGCAATTTTGAAATTATTTTGTCGTGTTACGAAAGTAAATTCGTCAAAAATGCTGTTGATTATTATTTAAGCCATATTGATCTACATCCAAACCACTTCAACATTCATAGTTATGAATTTTTAAGTTTTATAAAAAAGTTTTGTGCCAACAACTATAGTTCCACGTTATTTTATCATGAGAGAGCTCGCATCATGCTGAAGTTGGGAAAACTTGATAAAGCACATGTAGATTGCGAAATGAACGTAGTTGCCTTGTGCGACAAATTGATTATAGGTTGTTCGGATATTGCGGGTAAAATCGCTTGCAAGTGCGGGTTTACAAGAGAAAATCGTTATCAATCAAAAATAGTACCAAGGTTAGATAACATAGATAGCCATTCGTTAAGTGAATTATTAATAAGGCTCTTTATGGAACAAACTAGTGGGTGTATTGTATGCGAGAAACGCGCTTCCCTTAAGTGGAAAACAGGACCAATTATTGTCTTCGACGTAGAACACTTTTTCGAAGAAACTGCTAAAAACAAGAAATCATCAAGTGTTTTTACACAAACAGCACAGTTTTTACCTCTTCAAATAAAAATACATGAGAAAACGTACAGTTTAGTTGGATTCGTAGGTTTTACGCCAACGAAGTCTCGTTCCGGTGGTCATTACGTTGCATATTTGAGAAAAACCAACGGCTGGGAAGTAAGAAATGATTTGGGGTCTGAAATATTGACTGCATCCCTAGATTCTTTAAGAGTGTTCATAGCTTCAATAACTTATGTGCAAATAATTCAATGATATTTTACGAACTCAATTTAGCACTTGCATGCGGTTTTGGATTAATACAATGTCTAAACACATTAAAAGCAGTTATGTATTTGTTTGCTACAAAGAGTACCTTTATTTGAAAAAAAAGTAGCTACAAACGATTGGCATTGTATTTGTTTATTTAAAAAGCGATTTACTTTCAAGTTATGCTCGATCTGTTAATTTTTTATAATCTGCAAGAAAACTTTGTTAATTTGATACGATCGTAATTATAAGTTTTTAATCAAAGGAATATACACACAGTCATGTTACGTGATAGTCCAATATGAAACAAAAGTATAAGTCGCTTTTATTTTGTAGTATTGATACATTCAATGTTCGCTAGTTAAGTTTCGTCTTTTTTCCTTTCTTTTTACCGTTGTATAAAGTATATCTACAATTTCAAGATATGCATTCTGGTCACATAATTGTGATCTAAATAAAAAATATTTTTCCTCAATTCTATTCTGTTATCGATCGACGTCATTATAATTACATTGTACATTTAAATTACTTCGTAAAATAATTTACATTTTTGAGAAAATAAATTTTTATACAATCGTAGTCTAGTTGATTTGTATTATTCTGGAGTTTCCCGTACTTTACCGAATTCAAATACATCCTGAAATTCTTGCGCAAATTAATATATGATTTTTTGATGAAATAAAAATAAATTAAATTCGTTTTAGTATTCACGTTGTATTTGTTCCATCAAAATTTTCCTTAAAGATGTTTAATGATTCATTGAAGATTTCAATTTTTATCGAGCAAAACGCCATAACTTTTACACACGTTTGCAAGCAATGCTCAAAAACGTTTAATGCAAGAATAGCCTGATT